TTTGAGTAAACTATTATTATTGTGCTAAAAATGAGTGATGTTTGTACAGTAGTAGAACAGTACAGTAGTAAAAATCTTTAGTTACATTTCCAAACTTTCTTTTTAGCCTGGACAATGGCAGCCCGGAATGCCAAGATTCCCATTTGGCGGCCCCTTTGGCTGCTACCCTGGAATGAGACGCTTCCACAGGCAGATGCAACGTCAGCAACAGCAGCAGCAGCAGCAGCAGCCGGCTGGCGAGGATGCTAAGCCGAAAGAGAATGCCGAAGAGATGAATCAAGAAGCGAAGGACGCCACTGAATTCTTGAAGATAATGGGAGAATCTGTTGCTCAGATGTTGGATCCATTTGGTAAGGAACTTTCTATTACAAAAGTAAACAACCTTACGCATAACTCCTGTAGACCAGACACAGTACCGTTTGATTTTAATCGTGTGGGAAATTTACTCATGTTTAGACTCCCTCAACTTGTAGTGGACTTGGGGGCCTTTGAAATCTGGAACACACCCTCCCCCTCCCTGGTAATTTAAGGACCTCTGCAAAAGTTTTGGTGTTGAATATATAAAACTCTATTTTCTGAAAGTGGAGATTTTGTGATGTGTGAAAGACAAATTTCATACGAACTTTTTAAGAAATAGAATTAAATCTTATCTTTAAAAAAAATAATGAAAACAATACCAATAACAATATATTAAAGTAATACTACTAATGATGTTATAAATTGATGTTGATAAACTGTTTTTGTTGGCAGGTATTGATGTTGACATCGATGTGGAACATGGTGGCGTGCGACAGAATTGCCCGGGCCGTCGATGTGGTCCAGGGGGTAATGGCAGAAGAGGCAAGGGCCAAGGCAAGCAATGTGGTAAGGGTAAAAAGTGCAACAAAGATGAAGAAACTTCGGAAGCCAGTAACAGCCAAGAGAAACCAATGGACGCAGACACCAAGGAAACACCGGAAGGAATGGTGAGATCCTGTTGGATTATTAGTTTATAATTGATTAAACAGTTACTATTTATAATGGCTTAAAATAGATTGGGCGAGTAAAATTTAGGCAGGGGCCCGCAACCTACAGCCAAAATATCGGCACGCTCGCCTATGGCTCTGGAGGTGGAACAAGTCTTCTAGGATAAGGGCTATAAACCCTAGGCCCAGTGTGCACAATTGTCTCGTGTGAACCCAGTATAAGACGAGTAGGGGGTTACCCCAGTGTACTGGTCCATCTCACAGCCCCTGCCCTCATCCAGTACGAAAATACACTGACATGTGGGTCTGTACTAGAATGGAAGAAGAGGAATAGATTGAATATGGGCTAGTAAGTAGATTCTGTGAAAATTGTTTAAAATCCTGAATTATTTCATTTATTTATTATCAGGAAACGGACAGCAGCAAGCCGCAAGGTTCTGATAGTGAATGGACTATGGTGCAAGATAACCCGAAAGGAGCTGATGGTGACTATGGGCAGTCTCAACAAGGTAAAAGCTTTTTATATGGTCCTCTTCTGAACTGTCGTCTCAGGATTGTAACAATAGGACTTCTATAATTTGGGCGAATCACCCTTTTTCAAATGGGCACCCTGTGATAAACCCAACCACTCCTACCATATGAAAGTGATTTTTGAATAATTAAGGAGAGCGGTTAACATCACTTTGGACTGAAATATAGCAACAAGTACATTCTATAAGTGCTCCAGTTCCAGAGGGCCTCCTTCCTCTACCCAGACAACCCACCAGAGCTTCTTCTCTGGACACACTAGGGTACCTACATGTTGCCTGGCTCTCATAGAAACCCCACCTCTTAAGCGATCCTAGTTACGGACCTGAGTTTTACATCAGTTTAAAATTATTGACTGAAGGGTAGAGAAGAAGTAAATAATCATCAATATACTGTTAAGGAATTTGACTTGCGTTCCAACTCCCTCGATTTGAGGAAGAGTATATAGAATTTTTATGCATTCTCCCAGTCTCCAAAATTTTGTGGTGGGTGCCTTTCTTCTGCCCTTGCCTGGCTCTCAAATTTTGAGTTCCAAGGATTGGAACATCAGATTTGATAAAGGTGGTTTGAATAATTATACAGATTTACTTTTTATTTCTTGTGTGGTGTCAACAAGTTTTGTGTATGTTTTATTAATTAGACCCAAGACATGCTCAGGCACTGACTCAGATGAAGGCAATGGGGTTTGATGATGAAGGCGGCTGGTTGTCTCAACTGCTGAAGGCCAAGAATTATGACATCGGACGTGTCTTGGATGCTATCAAGCTGGGCCAGCCACGCATTGGCGGAGGCAACTACTAACCCGGCAGCATTTTGTCCCACTTGTAAAGAGATTGACTCTTGCAAAGGGCGTATAAAGGGAAACATCTTTGGCCGGACCGGATGTTGTCACCCTTTCAACTTTGTTTTAGTAGAGATATTTAGTATGTTGAGATAGATATTGGCACTTTTATCAATAATAACCAACTGTATGCTAGATTGGATGTTATAACTTTTGTGAATTATTCACATTATTAAGATGATTACTATAATACTGCATTATCAAATTAATGTTACTGATTGGCCCCTATGATTAGTATTAACTGATTTTATCAAAAATATAACAAATAATAAACAGAAGCAATTACTACAAATAATATATCTTTATAATTATTGAAACAATTTTCCCATTGCAAAAACTATGGTTTTGAAACTATAACTTACTTTTCTTTTAAAATACATAAATAAACAATAATTATGAATTGTAAATTGCAATTGAATTATGTGATGAAATCATTCACAATATAAACTAAATTTGTCTTTAAAAAGTGTGATTTTATTTTTTAACTTAAACTAGAATATAAATTATTTGTTTAGAGATGTATTCTATAAGGGAATGAACATATCTACCCAAATTTAATTAGATTTGCCAACTATTTCACATGTTTCAATTGTCATTCTAATTTTTAAATTTATTTTAACAACTTATGTTTATATTATCAACCAAAATTGGAATATAAATCATTTGTTCATAAATATCTTCTAAATTCAATGAGTTTTAATCTATCGAATGCAATTACTGTACATTTATCAGAAACTGTTTCATTATTATATGGTGGTCCTTTTTGGTATAAGTATAATCGCTAACAGTTTTAGTATTGAAAGAAGATATGTTTGTCGAGCAGAAAGCACTGAAGAATGTTGACACCATTTGAGTTGTGTAGAGGACAATAATTCTTAATCCGTTATAGATAAAAAATATCTACCATGGTTTTAAAACTATTAGTAATAATGCATCTTTATAATTACAAAAGCATCAGGTAACTTTGTGCTACACTATCATTATGTAAAATGATTCAATGATTTCATGTTTTTTGTATACAGTGCCAAACTAATCTATCAAGATTATATTTTTAATCACAATTACTATTTTACTATATTTAAAGACAGAGCTTTTTAAAGAGAATGTATAACGGAGAAGAGCAATAAAGAATGTTCATATCATAATGTTAGCTTCTTGATTTTATGTGTGTTATATATTTTGGAATTGCATTGTAAATTAGTGGGTTATTTCTTTTGATAAAAATACTAAGGCAAGACAGAAACCAGCCAAATAAGAAACATTTGTGTCTTATTGGCTGGCAAAACTGCTAATTATGCAAGATTTGCAAGATTGCCAACATTCCAACTAGCATAAATCCTATGGGCTCTTGGGGTCCAAGCCCTGTACCACCAGTCCAAAGGCGCCTTCCTACTAAAACACAGGACTCTTCTAACAGTAAGTTGACATTTCAGTCCCGTAGAAGACACCAAAAACTAGCAAATTAAATGTAATTCCTGGTTTGTAACTCTCAAATGTTCTATGTGAACTTGCAAGTCTTTTTATATAACAATTCCCAACCCAACCCAAAATTGTTTCGCAGTGGGCTCGAATACAACCGAAATTTAAATAGTCCGAAATAATGAGTAGATTGGTGGTCTTATTCTCTCAATATTCTGAAATATATTACAGTGCATCAACTTTTGAAAAACTTAAACTTTTGGTCTTGCATATGGCAAACAAATAGAAAAATGGAAAACAACTTTTTACCAGATCAGAAATCAAAAACATTTTTCTTTATTTTGCAAAGGAGTTTAAACCGCTAACACGTGATCCACATGTTTTTAATGTCATCTGTAAACCACATTGGGTAAATGTACATTTTAAAGGACACTAAATAAACCATTATTATGTTTTCTATTATATTTACAAAAATGAAATCTATTACTCAAATGCTTTGTGCATGCTATCTAATTTTAAGTGACAAATTTGTGCGATGTGCCCAAATATGGGTATAACATCATATAACATCCAAATATGGGCATATCACATTTACTTGACACATAAAATTTGATAGTGTAGACATGGCAAATTTAATAAATTATGCCTTTTCGCAATTTTCTTATAATACACTTTTAAGTATTAACTTTTTTTCTGCAATTCTGCATACATTTCATTCACTTAGTATTATGAGGATTTTAAACTAACATGTTTTGGAACAGCATTCCCTGGAAAACCAATATCAATGTCGTAACACGTTGGCTGCAAGCAGGATGGTCTAATTCTTTTCTACACACCGTAAGCAATGTAAAAATTATCTCAGAAGTTCTGTGTACGCATTATTTGAAGGATTACACGGTTTTTAGGAAGTGAAATCATTAAGAATTTTCCACTAGGTCTTGCCGAATAGTATAGAACTGCACTTGGGGTTTCGTTGGAGCGTAATCTTATTTCAAAAAGCACTACCACGAAATAGAGGGCGTCCTTTAAAAGGGGGAGTTTCAAAAGCTATTTGATTTCTAATGGGGTGCCCTCCTATCTCGTGGTAAAGTTTCATTGTGTGCATAAAAAATCAGGGCATTCTATACTCTCTGGTCTTACCATATTAGCGACCTTATTTTTGAGAAACACTGAAGGTCTTGAGTATGACCTAAACTTACACACAGAAATTGACAACACTGGAGTTTTGGGATCACATACAAGAAGTTGGTTTTGCTAAGTCTGTCCACACTATCAGATTCCTGTGATATGGCATCCTGATGTCATATTCTTCACTTAAACTTAGTGTGAACAGGACTTAAGTTCTTAAAAATGCTATTCTTTATCTACAGTATGCATATCCACTGCAGAGCCTGCAGTCCTAAAACAACTCCTCCTATTCACAAAGCAAAAAGTACTCAAATAAGCTATTTACCTAATTTTATAACAATTTTATAGCAAAATCATCATAAAACATCACTTTTCAACAATAATTTTGGATGATTTGGTGCGAATCATTCAGGTTGGAGAGGATATAACTGAGTAAATAAGAAACAATTAATAACTCTAAATATAATAGAAACAATGCATTTGAATTGCTTGCACTGGGATGACTGCTGACGAGCGAATCAGAAACGAGCCCTTCAGAAAATATCAGCAGAACACCACCAGGAAGCTATCATTACATGCCAAGCTGCCCAATGAAGTGCATTTTTTAAAAAACTATGCTAAATGGGAAACTCAAAGCCAACCACCAATCAGAACCAATGTTTTGAAATAAAAAATATCTCTAAGATTGGTTCTGATTGGATGACTGACTTTATTGAGCTCCACGCATTGGCTCATCATCACAGCAGCCAATATGAGGTAGTTAAATCTCGTCTAACCGAGTCTGTTTACTAATAACCAACAAACCACAGAGTATATATAGACACAAATGCAATATATTTATAACTGATTCACACAAGATAAAATATTACATCAGAACCGCGCTAAATGGCCAACAAACTTCTCAAGATATTTTTACCGAGAATATTATGTGACACGATAATGTTATTTCATACCCAAATATGGGCATATCGCAATTACCCTCAAATTTGATAGTGTGGACGTGCATTCACTCAGGTGCAATGTAGCATGGGACGTATCGTCAATTTTCTTGTGTGAATCGGGTATTAGTCGCAAATAATTATAATTCCTTTCTTATTGGGGAATAGAGCCTACCAAATAGGCATATGCTTTCCTTTCTTGAACATAACATAGCAGAGGTATGTGGTTGTTTTTAAAACATTAAAAATTAGGTTCAAAAACGCTTCTCGAATACCACATAAATGTTATCCCCATATTTTATTTAAATATTTTTTTTTTGTAAATTTGCATTAAAAAAATTTGATGTTTTTAAATTTTAAATTGAAGTTTCTGTTGTCATGAATAAAGACATGATTAATTGAATCCCTTATCAGATTAATAAAAGGTGGCTTTACCAACATACAATACACAAGAAAACAAAGTTATTTATATCTTTTTAAACCATGCTGCATATCGTTTATCAAACTGACAATATAAAGGTCTGTCCACATTACCAAGTTTCATCTGACAAATAAATTTAGCTCCGATGAGGAGCAATAGAAACACTCAGCTGATTAATAGATCTTTTTGAGCTCTACTACCTCTATTATACTGCCCTCATGAGGCTGATTGATTAATAGTTGATTGATCAAAGCACCAGTATTTGTCATTTATAAAAATTGTTAGTGTGGATGGAACTTCAGCAACAAAAACAAAACAATTGTAGCCAAATGCAAATGAATACAAGCTTTGATCTAATTTAAATACAGTATTTACAAAGCTAAATATTTTCACTACATAAACACATGTATAATACTACTTTCTTGATAAAATTATTTACTTTAAAGTTGTTTTTTTTTTCCAGTACAATCTGACGAGAAAACAAATATTGATAAAGTAATTACAATGCTATCTGTACATAACTTGGGGTCTTCTTTCAGTCAATATAATAAAGCTAGGTATTCTCGCTCTCTGCATCTGCAAGAAAAAATTCAATAGTATAATTTTCATAGATATGCATGTGGGTATTAAAGCAAAGTTGGATGACTGAGCGGTTAAGACATGGGCGCCACAATCAACAGCCATAATTTTGGCGCCGGTTGGAACAGCATGCTCGTCTATGGTTCTGGTGGTGTAACAAGTCTTCTTGGATAAGGACTATAAACCATAGGCCCAGTGTACACCATTTGACTCGTGTGCACATAAAAGACCCCAGTATGTCTTTCGTGATGAGTAGAGGGTTACACCGGTGTACTGGTCCATAAAGCCCTCTCGTTTTAAAGCTTATAACGTGAAGAATATGAATATAATAAAAATTAAATTTTCATGTTTTGGACACTGATACAGGTTATGGCAAGACAAGTCCCAAATGGTCCAAGGAGAGCAACACTTGTAGTCCAAGGTGGAGCATCTGCGGTGATTCTTTTCCTCTTGTGGGGATCCAGGAGTCATTATAATATTTTATGTAAATAAATTCACACTCTTTTTTTTGGCTTCTGACAAGTTTGGGGAAGGGGAGATGCAGAACATACGGACACTGGACGATATTGATGGCTGACACGATAACCTTATCAATCTGTGGGCCGCCCATTAATGAATATGCTTACTTTGTTCTTGTAAGACCTCATCAAACTGATCACTGCGTATGTCCTTCCAGTTAAGAAGCCGTTCCTTCAGAGTTCTGCTAGGCCGATCGACACAGATTGCAAAGGCTTGCAGAGCCCTGTGTGCGCTGGAGATGCCAAAGAGAACTCTAGTAGATGCCGTGGCTACATTGTCGCTCATGCTACGGGCGATGTTGAACGCTTTGCCAAAATACTGCGATGCTCGGTCGTACTCTCCCTACAAGGTACAATCAGAGAACATTCCTTCACTGAGCAGAAACACTATGAAATAACCTTCCAGTAAATGTGTTTCTTTTATCAATGAAAAATGAATTTACATGATTATGTTTATAAAGTTTGTGTTTGTCCCAATTTTCTTACTTGTTTTATAGCCAATCAGCAGTTGAGACTTGAATCAGTCTTTTAGGGAGTCCACTTGTTTGGACAAAGTAGATTATACACATTGTCAGTCCCATTCATATGGTTGGCACTTAAGCAAAGCGTAAATGGGGTGTATGTTAATACAAAGGTACTTACTAATGAATTGAATATGTTCCCTAAGCAACTACATGCTTCTGCTTGCGCGCCATCTTGTTTACTTCTTTCTGCGATGTCAACGAACATCTCGAGGTAGCGAATAGCATCCTCTAGTTTGCCTTGACTTGGATGATAAAAATAAAATTTAATATTAAACACATAATTTGACAATACATTCAGATTGGATTTATTCAATATAAACACCAAAGATAACCCATGAAAACCTGAAGAATTTATTTCCAGTGGGGTCCTTCTGGTAGGGATTGGCAGTACACTGCAAAACATTCCCCACTCTTTTCCTAAGGGTGTACTGCATTTTTGAACATGCACAGGGCCATAATCCACATTTGACCAACGGCTTTATACAAACATAAGAACTTTAATGAATTTTGAACAATCTTTGCACTAAGATGCAGCATTGTCAGAATTTCATTTAATGGAGAATTGTTGGTGGAGGGGATGTACATTAGGAATCTCTATACGCACAGACTATATAAACTGTCACAATCAAACCACAGATGGTGATTCCATCTAGATCACCACTAATCATTATATATGCTATATTAATCTTCATATATTTAGTTATATGAATGACAAATTTTGAATCAATAAATGAAGATTGGCAGAGCACTTTACCAACACCAATAAAAACAGATTAACAAACTTAGCAACAGAGTAGACATTAAAAAGTGTTACTCAAATCTAAAGAAGACAAACATAGTGCAGATTGAGAAAATGAATTGTAAAATTTTATTGAAATAATATGCACAAGAGCTGAGCAAGTCAGGCGTAAGTGGGTCAGGTTTAGTAAGGCAAATGCCCAATGGGCCAATCATGGCTGAAATAATTACAATATCTTGAATACAACATACTTTTCATATGACTTAGCAATGGCTTGACAAGCCTTTCCCATGCCAACTTGATCTCCTTGTTTCTTGCATACATCCATAAAACCATTGTGGTACTGAAAGAATTAAAAAAAAACAAAACATTATACATCAATCTCATGGAAATTCAAGGGTCTTAAAAGTAATCCCACATGTTTTTAATGTAATATTGTTTGTGCCGCATTTATGATGTAAGCCGGGCACTCAGAGCGTTGTACGACCGTTGAATGACGAATCCACCTCTCCCGGTAAGCAATAGACGACGTAACGCCATCTGCTGATTGTCAGTCTAAATGGATCCTCATTGAAAGAAAAGTGATCTATTGGTTACGCACCGCCGCGTGCGTTAGTTGTCGCACGCGGTGAGTACCCGGCTTTAAAATACAATGTGGTTTTCCATTCTGATTAGTTGAGGTGCAATGTTTACATTGGTCCATCATTCATGAACTGGAAGTATTGTTCAAAGTTAAGTCCTGTCCAGACTATACTCTTTGTTTAGAACTACGATAGTAGAATAATGAACACTTGATTAGGATTTTACATAACAGGAGGTTCTGAATCATATATTTATTTGATTTACTGTATGTGTCACTATATATTTGTATAACATAAAGATGGGGGATTAGTATTACCATTAAAGCAGTTTCTGAGTCAGAGATATCTTCATAGGCCAAGCCTAGTCTGTAGCTGGCATCTCCCTCCTTGGCCTCATCCCCACCTGTAAAACAAATACCAAAATTACATCTTAGAAAATGAACATGAACATTATTTTTACCACAAACACCCAAATATAACTAACCTACAATTAACCAAAGTTGAAGGAATATAATACATAGTTCAGGTTTAAAGCTTCCGGGTTATTTGTTGTTTATTCCTGAAGAATAGACAAATGGCATAAAGAATCTTGATGACTTGTATCATATTCTTCGAGTTTTTTTTTCCATACTCCTAATAATTTAGTCATAAATTGAGTCTTCAAATTTTTAATGAGTTAAAGATCACCTAGAATAGACCTCACCAGAGTGCCAATCAAACTTAACAACTGACCAATCAGAATAGGGACAAAATATGTGGGCGTGTCCTACAAACACATGTGCTGTCCCACAAATGCATGTGTGTGCATATATTTTTACATGGATTTGTGGTCCTTAGCAACAATATCCAAGGGGCGGAGCTTAGCGGGAAAAAGGTCAATTATAATCCTGTATTTGAATTGCTTATAGTTCCTTATCTCATGATAAACATCAGGCTTATAGCCCAGTTACATTAATGGCATATAAATTTTGTAGGCTGGCTATGGATATCCTGAAGTAATTTGACTGCCATATAATGATTTCCTGCAGTGGAGAGGCCAGTTCCTCAATGTAATCCTGCTTGTACAATCATATCAAAACGCTTCTTATTTCCTGTCTTTGGAATTACTGTAACCACATTATTATGATATTACTCTGATTATCTTTAGCATTGTAAGACCATTTTCTTTATTTGTTCCATAATACATAATATTGTACATGAAAACAATCTTCCTACTGTGACACAGAATATTATTCCTGGGTGGAGAGTGGAAATGTAGATAAAGTGTCTTCCCCACCAAGATTATACCTCTACGAAAACTAAGGGTTGGTAATAGCCATTTAAAGGGTGGGAAAGTGATAACATTAATAAATAAATAAGGATGAAAAAGTGGGTTAATAAGGGTGGGTGGAGGGCCATGAAATTAGCTTTAGACTGGGTGGATATTTTCAACGCTGGGTGGTCCCGCCCACCTTAAACTACATCCCTGCTCAAAAACACACAATGCACCAGAGACCCGCCACACTTCCAAGAACAATTATTGCATATTGTTTTCCACACATACATCCATGCAATGAATGATTGATTGAATCAACCATTATTTTATTTACTAAACATATATCAGGCACTTGTTAATGATTGCAAGTAGCAAAAATACAGGGCTGGAAAAAATTTGCAACCGCGATACTGATGGTTGGAGGCATCATAGTGCACAGATAAAATTGTGTGTTGGAGGGATTTTATTGACACAATTTTTATTTGTCAACACAGAAATCATGGATAAGTTAAAAGTAGCCTAAAAAAAAAAAAAACCCCCAAAACAATCAAGCAGTAAACAGGTGCTCCCACTGGGAGCCTGTAAGTGAGGGAGTAGAGTTGCTTGGGTTGTGGGAATAAACATCCTGGTGATTTGACAGTATCCAGTTAACTTACTTTCTTTAGCCATATCAAAGGCTTGTTGGAAGTATTTGATTGCATCTTCTGGACTTTTATCATCCCCTTTCTGATGGGCTTCCGCCACTGCTGTGTACACCCTCCGGAGGTGTTCGCAGGCTGACGAGTGCAGACTCAGCCCGTCTCCCGTCATCCAGTTGTTTTTGGACGCTAAGTTGTAAAATTCTTCAAAATATTTTGTTGCTTTGCCATAATCTCCTATAAAAAAAAAAACATAGAAAATAAACAATTAGTTTAATTGAATAAAGGGATAAATCAACCAGTAAATAAATTAATCCACTTATTATTTCATAATGTTTGGCAAAAATGTATTCAAAAATAGGACATATGAGGTCTCTCCTTTTTTCTTTCATTTTCTTCTTTACAAGCATGGTCATCAAAAACACAAATTTGGTATAATTAAATAATTAATTGTTAATAAGAATAGCACAAATTTTCAGCGCTTGATTCTTTGGAAACTAATTGTATGCCCTCATAAATGAAGTAGTGTAAATACTAGAAAGGAGGCAATAACTGAATCAATCAATTTAATTAATAAATTCTTTATTTATCCCACTTGAGCAAATTAAAAAAAAGGTAATGTCAAATTTTGGTAAGATGTCATCATTACGATGATTATGATTATTATTATTATAAAATACTCTGCAATAAGTGATATTAACATAATATTAGCAAATAAATATTTGTTTGGAAAAAAGGAAATCACACAAAATGCATCATATAGACTTTGACTTACTCCTTCGTTCAAATGCTAGGCCCATGTTACAGTATGCCTCCCCCTTCCTCCGTCCATCACCGGGGATGTTAAGGGAAGTGTCTAGACATGAAGCGAAGAAGTGATCCGACAACCAGAGATCATCGGTACTCAAAAAATACTCGGCTAATTTGTTTCTAGCATTGTAGACAACTTCTAGATCATCTGCAAAAAGATGCACGAATATAAAATTAGTTGATTGAAGAATGGATCCTTCTGGAATGTCAATCAAACTCAAGAAGTAACCAATCGGAACAAACACATGTTATCACAAATGCACATATTTTTGTACATTACGTTATTACTTTGTTGGACCTTAGCAACAATATCCAAGGGGTGGGGCTTAGCAGAAAGGTCCAATGATATTTCAGAGATGAGGTCATGTGACTAACATGAATGCAGGGCTGACCAATAACTGTTCGTTAACAGCACACATATAACTGGTCCTAATAAATCTTCTAAATTATTTTTTTCTTGAGTTTACTGTTGACCAATAATTGTATACATACCTGGTCGTAATAAATCTCTTAATATATATTTTTTTCTTCAGTTTACTGTTGGATTTTCTCTGTTTTTTAAATCACTTTATTAAGCCTTTTAAATTTAATATAATGCTAAGCTAACATCAAATAAAAGTCAGGGGTCATACCCACATGCCTCTAGGGCAGACATACAGCATGAACCACTCCACAGCAGTCAAAATGTGCCTGATTGGATTTGGCCAATGGGAATAAGTTTATTGAAATCACATGCACAATTATGTATTGAAACATAATTAATAAATAATAATAATTAATATAACAATAATTAATTATAACCAATTTATGTATTTTAAATTTAATAATAGAAAATGTGAAATAAAATATATAATTTGTAATAATTCTTTATGATTAAGAAACAACTTATCTAAAATATATTAATAGTAAAATATGCAAATAAAATTGAAATACTAAATTCCAAGATCATATTGGTATGTCATATTCTACCATAATATTTAAGACTACTGTATAAATACAATTAATCAGAACACACTGTACATAAAATTTTAGTTATGGCGATTTCATAGTTTTAAGAATACGCAAGTAGAGCTATGGACAACAAGTGATGGAACTAGTAAGGATTGAACCCAGAATTTTGTGTTGAAGGTTGGGTACTACAACCCTTATTCCACATACTTATTCTTAAAGCACTTTCTGCTTCTGTTAGGTGTAACTTCAACTGGTTCAGTTTCTCTTCTTGGTCTTCTAGCAATGTGGCGGAGAAACCTACATCGTTATTAGCAGACTGGAGTCGTTCTTTCTGCTGGCGAATCAGTGCAAACAGCTCCGAGAATGAATGATGGAAGCCGTCCTTTAACATCTCCAGACACAAGTTATGTTTATAAGTGTTGCGATATCTACAATTTACAAAATTATATTCATCAACTATTACTATGATAAGCAACAATAATATGTTTATGTATGTATGTATTCATTAAAAATAATCTTAGTCTCTTTGATATTTAAAAAAAAATTTAGGCGAAACTTTTTTATACATCTTGTTGAGCGAACCCGCCGCCTTCCAATAATGATGATTTTAAATAAAAATAAAATTCTGTTTAGCCGATTAGCGGACTGGCGCCACAAAAAAATTGGAAATTTCAGAAAAAGTTTTTTTTATCTTTATTATGCCTGCCGCAGCCTTGAAATCTCCGAAAATAAGATGTATACATTTCTTCCTAATTATATAAATTTAAATCAATAACCATCCTTTACTACACAGTAAATGTCAGATGTCAAATTTGCTTGGACTTCAGCATAACGATTTCTCTGTGCCTCATAATGTATTTAACGGCAATAATACACTGAATATAAAAACCATTGCTACCATTGACCACTGGCAATATTCTAGTGTTGCAACATGGTAAAGTTATGTAAAGGTTTATAATTGGTGAATATAAATGGGGGTGAAAAATGAATGCTCCACTCTTAACCCCAAATGGGGTGGGAAGGGGGCCTATTTGGGGTTAGAGTCAAGCATAGGGGGAACGCACGAGAAAATCTCTTGAAAAAAATACCCGGACACATCAGAAATTTGGTTTCTGATGGCAAACATTTCCCATAAATTTTATTGCTTCGATTTATTTTAGTTTACTGAGCATACATCATAATATTTATTGGAGATACAAAAAAATAATGTGAAAATATAGTTAGGCCCCCCCCCCCCAATTTTGAGACCCCCATTGGGACAGTCTCGAGTTTGGTCTCCAATTAGAGGGCTAGCTTTGTCTTAAAAGGTTGAAGATTGTTATTTGGGTCTTCAGAAAATTGGTCTCGAATAGAGGGGTCTCCAATTGGAGGGTGTACTATACTGTATTGAAGTTTACCAAGTCTTTTTTAAAATCAAGCTTTGAAAAAGAATTTTATTGCATTTATCAATGAGATAAATATCTGGGAATATGATATGACTCGAACCCAGGACCCTGGATTTGTAAGGTAAGCACCTTACTGTAATTACCACCAATAAGAAGGATCCACTAACTTTTGAACCTCCATGCTGGACAAGTTAGGCTGCTGTTTTTGCCAGAGTGCTTGCTGCTTTGTCTGTGCATCTCGATCCCTCTTTTTCACCTTCAGAGCAGGTTTCCGGTACGCATCTTGGGGTTTCAGCTTGTTTGGCGGGCTTGGTACACGGTGTTGCATCATAGCTTGGCCGTGTATTGGAGCGTGGCCATGGGAATTGTGGATTGCTGGTAATGGGGCTGCCATCTCTATCTACTGTAAACAAAATAAGAAGAAAAAGTTTTAAAAAGTGGTCAGGTGCAGCCCTCTTCTTTGAATTATTTATTTATTATAAAAACAAGAAATACTGTAGAATTACGACTCCTGACATAATTAGTTTATGGGAAGAAGCAGCTAATGAAATACCTAAACTACTATATAAATCCATTTTCAATTAACATGACTTATAACTATGGAATAAACAATATATTCTATGTGGTGTACTCTTTCTCTAATATTAACAAACATTATCTAGAAAATAAAGAAGACAAATAATTTTAAATCAGGGAGGCGAAACCTGGGGGAGAGCTGCTAGCAGTGACACCCCCGGGGGCCCAATGACAGGGTTAATGATAATGTGAAGTGCATACAGTAGAGGGCTTTAATATGCACTACATTATATACTGTAAGTCTACCAATTATGTTAATATAGTAAGGCTGCATTTTCAATATTAAAACCATATTCAGATCAGTTGAATCAAGTTTTGGTGACAATAAACTGTAGATACCTCCCTTTAGTACAAACATACAGTGTACTGAATGACGTATACTTTCTTCTGTAGTAAACCATCATCAGGGACGGAATAAACAAATAAATACTGTATACATCTAGAGTGTTTTCTAAATCAAGGAATATTAAATTATCATTTTTATTATTAGCAATAACCATTCCACCTTCAGAACATCTGGTGATCATCGACAAGAAAATACTTTGTGCCATTACAACACAATATTTCTCTTCTCTCAAATAAAAGTGTAATTCTCAAAATAGGAGTAGCATTGAGCCTTAAAAAGAACCCCACTACCATGCTGACTGCGCGATAATTCAAGATACTACAGTAAAACCTCGAATTGAAGCCCAGTGGGCTTAATCTCGAGATGAAGCCAATCTCGAATGGAAGCCCCCTCTTTAGTTTGCAAAATTAATAGGCTTCTTTTCAAATAATACAGTACAGTACACCGTACATGAATTTCAAGAAAACAAAAACAAAATTAAATACAAGCTTGGTTTATCAGTAATTTAGGTGATTTAATGCCAGTTAAATACACACCATGATACACATTGATGTTACAGTGACCTTATTTATTGTGTTATAGTCCAAATTCACAAAATTTACAGCATTCGTTTTGAAAAGAACCCCCCCCCCCTTCTATACTTTGCAAAAGTAGTCTCGAAAAGAAACCCATCCAAAGTTTGCAAATAAGAAGCCCAGGGCTTCAATTCAAGGTTTTACAATACATGTACTGTACAACTGTGAAGTGTGGTGTAGGAAAAAATATTTTTGCTTGCTCCAAACCACTAAATGTACTACAGTACTGTTTCGCTATAATAGTGTCAAGATAACATTTGGTCCTGAAGCCATTTGATCAACATAATCTTCATGGTCGGAGGCACAACAAATATGAAGCAAAATAATTATTGTATTGTATTGATGATATTATTTTTTTCATTGAAAATATATTACCAGTAAGATTTTAAAATTATGCATTGAGAGTGCAATTTCCAGGCACCTTGAGGTTCATGTTCTCCCCTCAGCCCCCAACCATGGTGGTGCTGAGGTGCTATGGATTCTCACGCACCCCCTACAGCCAAATCCTGCATCTTTCCCAGGGAATATACTAAACCTTTTCTTCCACTAAGGCATTTAGCACATTTCTTCATTTACCTACTGTACATTGGCAGAATTTATTATCCAGTATTACTTTAAAAGTGTACAGTACTATAGCAGACATTCTACAGTACTTAGTAAACATTATTGTAGACGAAAATAACTTAACCTTTCCTTCCACTAAGGCATTCAGAATATTATTATCTAATATTTCTTCTACTTTGCCTAAACCAATATAATACTGATACCACTTTGCCAAACACTGACTGATTGTCTTGTCCAGTGTAACCTCAATGATCAGGCAAATTACACAGGTCAGTTATAATCACTAATCCATGAGGCTTAACTAATCAAATACAGAATGTACAATATTTGCAAGTGTTTTAATTTTAACGGCAGTATTTTTCAACAGTAAACATTTGTCTTTGCCTTGTCCATTTGTCCTTTTAAGATTCCAGAAGAAAAAGTTTGAGGAATGATCAAACTTATTAACAGTATTATCTCATTAACTTCCACATAATTAAATTATATTTATGGGATGAGGGCAAATATTAAAGCCAGTAAAAATTTCATGACTCAAAAATTAGCTGGAATAACTTGACCTCTGTATATACTGACCTTGTCCTTAACTAATTGCTGGACCTGTCAAACTACAGCCATTAACAGGACAATGTCAGGGACATTCTGTGGTCAGTAGTATACCTGAACTTGACATATGGTCAAGCCATAGTCAAATTTGTGGCCTAAGGGATATTTCCTTTATAAATAACTGAAAAGTGTGTTGACTTATTGAGAAAATTATCTGTTACAGTCATAATAACAAATGCAAAGAAATTAATGTTTGTATTTATTACAAGGCTTTATCCACACTACAGTAAAGTATTAGGCCCATAAATTTTTTTATTAGTTTCTCACTCAAGCGCTCATCACTTTTGGGGGAAATCTGATTTTTTTTTAATCAACATAATTATATTCTTTTTTCAAATGTTCCTATTTCCAACATTTTTCACTTGAAAAGCTAAGGATTTCTTTCAAATATGTTTACTGGTACAACAAAAACATATTTTTTAAATATAAATTTGATTCCATTCTTATGACTTTTTATATAGAGTATGTGTCCCTAACCACTGATTTACTTGCGAACATCGGTGAAATGTGGGCAGGTTTATCAAAAAAAAAAAAAAAAACCTCCCTCCCTCATCAGTTTTTATTCTTTCATAGGGTGATAAACTAATAATTTTTTTTATGGTGCCTTATATCAAATTATTTGATGGAAATTGGTTGGACACTGTCTAAGTGAAGTTATGAATATTGAATTAATTGGATATCAGTCATGCAGGTTTCGAGGAAACAGTTTCTAAAGATTCTAAAATCAATAGCTTATTATTGAGATTTGTATTTTAAAAAATAATTTTAACATGATTTTTAGTTACAGTACTGTAGATTTAGTGATTGATATTTTGAAGAAATTTTCTTCAAAAAATCTTTTTTTATAAAATGCAAAAAATAAAATGTTCAAAATTCTGATTCTTGATTGTTTTGGGAGCTAGTGGGAAATTTGAAATTGCAACAAACAAAGGGTTTTGCCAGAACTGGTCACAATACAGTGCAATAACCACTAAATTCTTGCAACTTTGTTCTTAAATAAACTTTTGGTATAAGATTTTTCCAATAAAAAGAATATTTGTTGTATAAAGTAATACACAGGTCTCCCTCTAATTAGAGAACCCTGCAATTAAAGACATTTCTGTGGTCCCATACCTGTTATCAAATGTCTTTTATCTTTATTATTCTAATTAAAGACCAAAGCTGCAAAAGACTATAAGAAACACGGTCCCAAAAAGTGGTTTTGACTTGGAAGGAGACCTGTAATAATGATATATGATAATAGTTAACAACAGACAGGGGGAAAAGAGGCTGCACATGCCACGTCCCTCTCCTTTTGCCAATTTAAAAAAAATTTCAACGAATACCAATGTTATGCTGTGCCCGTGTGCCCCCCCCCCCCCTTTGGAAAATTCTGGATCTGCCCCTGACACAGCCAACAGTAGCCACAACAAACAACCACAATAATTCTTATTATCTTTTTCACATTCCCCTAATTATGGTCAGACTATAAATCAATATCATAGAAATTTCAAGACAACAAGTGGTTCCCCACCCACCCCTTCCCGGAAGGTTTCCCACCGGGTGAAGGAAAAAAAACAAAACCCAAACACCCATATTTCTACCAGAAATTAAGTTTGCTCATTATACAATACAAACTATCAAGAATAAAAAGGAAAGAATAACAATAATTAATCACAAATGCAGTAACATTAACAACATTAAATTATGAAAATACAAGGCCTAAAAACGATTTTATATTAAAGATAAATTTAACAATAGGTCCATGTAGTCAGCTGTGTATTTTCAATGACAGGTCCTATAGTAAAACAGCAACAATGTGATTTCAGAATCTAAGATTACCTTGAGCATTTTTGTTTCATTAGGGCATGAATAATATGATCATATTCCTCAATACATTCTAATAACATCCATCTAGAAAGGATTTATTATTAATGATTATAATCAGTATAATACTGTACGGCAAGCATTGGCAAACATATTATAATTATGAATGTGAACACAGCTACGACCCTATGGTACGGTAAACAACACAAGAGGCACACGGATTAAAATCATCATGCAATTTACTATCAGGGCCATTGTAGATTTAGTGACTGATATTTTGAAGAAATTTTCTTCAAAAAATCTTTTTTTATAAAATGCAAAAAATAAAATGTTCAAAATTCTGATTCTTGATTGTTTTGGGAGCTAGTGGGAAATTTGAAATTGCAACAAACAAAGGGTTTTGCCAGAACTGGTCACAATAAAGTGCAATAACCACTAAATTCTTGCAACTTTGTTCTTAAATAAACTTTTGGTATAAAATTTTTCCAATAAAAAGAATATTTGTTGTATAAAGTAATACACAGGTCTCCCTCTAATTAGAGAACCCTGCAATTAAAGACATTTCTGTGGTCCCATACCTGTATTATCAAATGTCTTTTATCTGTATTACTGTATTCTAATTAAAGACCAAAGCTGCAAAAGACTATAAGAAACACAGTCCCAAAAAGTGGTTTTGACTTGGAAGGAGACCTGTAATAATGATATATGATATTAGTTAACAACAGACAGGGGGAAAAGAGGCTGCACATGACACGTCCCTCTCCTTTTGCCAAATTTTTAAAAATTTCAATGAATACCAATGTTATGCTGTGCCCGTGTGCGGGCCCCCCCCCCCCCCCCCCCCTTTTTGGAAAATTCTGGATCCGCCCCTGACAGTCTACAGTAGCCACAACAAACAACCACAATAATTCTTATTATCTTTTTCACATTCCCCTATTATGGTCAGACTATAAAGCAATATCATAGAAATGTCAAGACAACAAGTGGTTCCCACCCACCCCTTCCCGGAAGGTTTTCCACCGGGTGAAGAAAAAAAAAAAACAAAACCCAAACACCCATATTTCTACCAGAAATTAAGTTTGCTCATTACAATACAAACTATCAAAAATAAAAAGGAAACAATAATTAATCACAAATGCAATAACATTAACAACATTAAATTATGAAAATACAAGGCCTAAAAACGATTTTATATTAAAGATAAATTGAACAATACTGTAGGTCTATGTAGTCTACTGTGTATTTTCAATGACAGGTCCTATAGTAAAACAGCAACAATGTGATTTCAGAATCTAAGATTACCTTGAGCATTTTTGTTTCATTAGGGCATGAATAATATGATCATATTCCTCAATACATTCTAATAACATCCATCTAGAAATGATTTATTATTAATGATTATAATCAGTATAATACTGTACGGCAAGCATTGGCAAACATATTATAATTATGAATGTGAACACAGCTACGACCCTATGGTACGGAAAACAACACAAGCGGCACACGGATTAAAATCATCATGCAATTTACTATCAAGGCCTAGAATCAAATGTGCTCTACATACCAATTTGACAACTGGTTCAAGGTTATGAAATCCAAATTCATGAATGAACACAAACCAACAAGCAAAGCCACAAGAAAGCAAGGACATCTTAGCAGACTGTTGGCCAGCCCAAGGATGGAAAATAACCATATTGGCCTGGCCAACAGTCTGTGCTTGCTTAGATGATTGTAGTTCTGCTGCTGTTGCTGTAGTGTTGTGTTGTTGGCCTACAATCAATCCTCCATAAACAATAATGGCCACAGATTGGCTGGCCTGATAATGGGCTGCTGATGTCACTACATAATCTAATTGACCTATTGACCTATTTCTAAAAAAAGCATACAGTTTATCACCACTGGGCCACATCAAATTCCATTTCTTTGTGCACAGCACAAAAATTCATTACCAATTCATTGCTGATAGCAAAATTAACCAGCACGCTCTTGAAAATGTGTAATATTATACAATAAGTCATTATCAAATGTAGTGTTATTTGGCAAAATCTTAAAGACTCATGGAAAGGAAAAGTTAATGAAGGTCGGGCATACCCACTGAAAAGGTTCTGCATTTGAAAGGTCTAAACGATTAAAACAGTGATTATTATATTATTAGTCTGGGAAGAGAGATATAACAGTAGTTAACGACAACAAAAATACTAACAATAAAACTAACAAAATAACAGTTAATAACAGATGTATCCCACCACCCCTAAATAATTATGTGTAGTGTTCTGCAAGGATTACAACCCAAATGTAGCAAAAATATGTCCTAGAATGAAGGCCCTTGGCTACGTAATACGGTATGAAGGCCTAAAACAACAATTTATTGCTTGAATTTATTATCATGGTTATTGAATTGATTGCAGAATTATTTAATTTAAAAAAAAATATAATTATACATACTGCTACAATCAATTATTAAAACCTAATGGAAATATTTGATTCTTTAAAGATCTGATGGTTATTAATTTTTATAATTTAACGCTTTAAATTGTGATGTCAATTTTAAGTGCTTTTTTGAAAAAAAAAAAACAAAAAACAAAACATCAGATTGTATCCTGTTTTCAGTGCTGCACAGTTTTCCAACATATATAACATATACAGTATTTCAATATTGATGTTAATTATGATGATGATGATAATGATGTTAATGATGACAATAAGGTACAATCATGGACCTATTATTGATTAATAGGTCCATGGTAAAATAATGTAAAATGATAATGATGATGTTATGATGATGATGTTAATACTGTTAAATGATTCCTAGTCTTGGGTTGCAGCCTTAGATACCATAGACCATGGTGTCTTACTATCACGTCTTTCATCCATCGGTGTCAGAGGCAGCGCTCTAGAATGGATGGCCTCGTATTTAAACGGACGAACACAGGCTGTTAATATACATGGTTGTTTATCATCCTTTATGCACCTATTGTCAATATTGCCCATAATCACGGAATAAAAGTTCATATGTATGCTGACGACACACAACCCTACTCATCTTTTAATCTACACTGTAATGAATCTGAAGCTAATGCCCGCAAACAAATGGAATTATGTATTGCTGATATCAAAGCCTGGATGACCTATAATAAACTAAAGCTCAATGACAATAAAACAGAGTTTATGGTCATATCTTCAAAATATCATCAGTCCAGATCCACAACCACCTGCTTACAATTACGTAACATTGGAATTGTATTCGACAATACGTTGTCTATGGACGTTCAAGTCAAAAACATCTGCAAATCAACATATTTCCATATCAGTAATTAACAAAATCTAGAAAGTTCTGAATGACAAGACTGCAGCTACTACTTGTGCATGCTTTAGTTACCTCACGACTTGACAATGGGAACTCACTATTACATGGTATTAACGAACAAGCTCCAACATGTTCAGAATTCAGCTGCTCGCATGTTAACACGGACCAGAAAATTTGATCACATTTCACCAATATTGAAACAGCTTCACTGGTTACCAATTCGCCAACGAAATCATTTCAAATTGCTGCTGCTCACCTGGAAATCATTCAACGAAATGTCACCTACATATATACGCGAACTATTATCTATGCATGTCCCCAAACGCACTTTAAGATCAGCGGACAAACACCCTATTAACTGTACCTAGGACTGCATCTTAATACGGTGATCGCGCATTCTATGCAGCAGCACCCAGGTTCTGGAATGCATTACTCAATTGAACTCCGCAGATGCAGTTCGCTTGATGTCTTTAAAAAGACTTAAAATACATTTATTTCAAGTTGCTTTTAATCATTAATTGTTTTTATCATTTTACTTTTATAATGTTTTTTATTTATTTTTTCCATGTTTAGTATGTTTGTGTGCGCCTAGGAATAGGTTTACCTAGATAGATGGCGCATTATAAATGCATTATTGTTATTATTATTATTAAATGATAATGCCAAAAAGTTTTTGATATGTTGCAGCGGGAAAAATGTGAGTCATGTGTGATAGAGATACACACAGATGGATGAAATCTGTGTTTTAATATTCAAAGAAATCTAACTGCAAAAATAGATGTTGTATTCAACTTGAATTAATTGAATAGTACAGAGTACAGTACTAGCATAATTACTTTACTTGTTTACTTGTGTCCTAGAAGAGTCTTGATTTATTGGGAAAATTATTGGGATATGTTGGCAAATTATTGAACTAAATGAAAAAAAAAAATGGCACAGCCCTCAATTTTTGCAATTGATCTATGTCATACCATGAAGAAATACTTTATTTTTAGTTTTTCGTATAAATTAGCACAGATCAATTATTCGATGCAGCTTGTGTTTATTCATACCATGACAAATCGTACCATAGATCCTATAGATAAATACAATTAGAAAAGGGCACTCTCTTGGCGCTGCCATTGGTGGAGACCTTATTAGGGTCTCCGGGGGCGGACTTAGAGGGGGGTAGAGAAAATGTGGAAAAATAATAATAATTTAAAAAAAAAAATAATTGATGAGTCTAGAAACAAAAAAATTGCGGCTTCCTGGACCCTCATTTTTAAGGTGTCTCAATCGGCCCTACTTTCGTCCCCCTCCCCTTTCCGACATCTCTGGATCCGCCCCTGGTCTCTGAATGCATTTCATGTCCATTGGTGCAATATATTTAGAGTAGATTACAAAGAAAATAGAATACTGTACGTCCTATCATTCCAATATTGACGTTGTAGCAATGATACACAAGAATCCCCAACCAGAGCTCAATAGCTAATTGCATCTGAAGAGGGCTAATAATCACTGTAATATACAATAGGATGTGTGATCTTATCAACACCATAATGAGGAATTACAGTGCAGCCTTATTACTTGATCAACATCATCATCAAATTATGGAAATAATCAGAATATTGGCATTTACTAACAACCTGTAGAGGGCAGCAAACATCTATTCAGATTACTCAGATTTAATATTTAAAGTTTTGATTTTCATTATAGCTTTTAACTGTACTATATTTTTGATGAAAATTGTAGAGTATTTCATAATGAAAATAAACTCTATTTTCATATGAAAATAAAGAAAAAGTCTGTCCACACAAATTTTAAGCGACAAATTTGTGTGATATCCCATACAGTATACGGGTATAATGATGGGCATTTCCAGCAAAAGGTAGAAATGTGTAAAAATTCCAAATTGACATTTACATAGAAAATGTGGTATCATTATAAAGACAATTAGTTGAACTTTTGAGAACTGATATTTTATTTGAAAATGTTTGATTTACTCCAGAGATATTAATTTTTTTAAAGTTTTGTGTAACTTACTTGACTTTTAGAAGTTTTCTTTAAGAAAAACATCAGTTTTTTCAAGGTACATACATAAAGCGGGCTATGAAGAATATGTAAAGATCTCATACATGATTGTCCAGTTGAAATTCATTGTGGTTGAAAGTGTATGTCGGTAAAATTTGTGTATGTCCTATAACAGGAGATAAAAAAATCTCCTACCTTAAGAATGAGAAATAGCAACCAAAATTGTTAAACTCAAGGTTTTGATTCCTGATGATGACATAATTAATGTCAAAATATTGAATTCCGACAAGATGGCGTGCATTTTGATACTTGGAATAGTATTATACTATCTTATCAAGGTTTTGTATAAATGAAATTAAAGAAATTCCTAGTTAAGTCCCAATATACCGTAATTTATGGAATTTAAGATTGAAGTTTAACTAGGCATGAAAATTCAATATCATCATGGTAAGTCTGTAACACCATGGAGGAATTAATTTAATTTTCCTCCATGGTAACACAAGGTTTTTTAATGATTTTCTCCGAGATGGCTTAGAATTTTTTAATGATATCTGGAACATTTATTCTTTGGGTTAAGACAAAGCATTCGGTAGATTTTCATTCACTATTTGTAATTTACTTTTCAAAATATAAAGGACAAAAAAAGACTTCTAAAACATTCTAACAAACAATTAAGCCGGGCACTCACTGCTCATGACGGCCGCCAGCCGACGCGATTCTATAAAGAACGCAACACGACGACGCGCGTAACAGATCGTTGATGGATTCGTTGTGCGACGATCGTACGACGCAGTGTGTGCCCGATTTTATACACATGAATTTAAGGTTCTCTTGTGAAACACCCGCGCCTCCCTTGACCCCCCCCCCCTTGGATTTTCCTTTAAAAAATTCTAAAAAAAACCCTTTGGTATGTCAAATTTAAGAATCCAAAATTTCAGCTCCAAATTCCAAGCTGTTTTTAAGTTATGAACTTAACTAAGATCAATGTGCGTACACTGGGAAAAAATTTTTTTTAAATTAAATTTAGCATAGGCTCTGTAAATATTCAACCAATTTTTGTAATCTACGCCTAGAGTATACCTAGGCCTACTAGGGTAGCTAGTTACAAAACCTATAGGGGGCGCTGTTCATTGGCGATACAAACATCGTGATAGAAAATAGTGCCCCAACGGAGATAGGATACCCTATGTATTCATTGAGTATTTCGCGGAAGAATATCCCAATTTGGCCAAATTATTTCCAGACAACTCTTCAGAAATAAAGCAATGGGTTTTTCAAGCGTGTGATTCGATTCAGTAGAAGTTTTTTGTTTACAAGAAATGTTTCGTCATTTTTTAAGAATAAAAGGAGACCTTCGCTAGTTTTTTAGTTAACATGTTTGTTTTATTCAGGTTTTAATATATAATGGTAGGCAAGTTAAAAATAATATATTTGTAGCGCCTAATTAAAATATATGGTCCAAATTATGATATATTCTATTGTACTGGAGCTAGGCTTCGCTCGTACAGGTTGAGGGCGCCCTCGTGAATTTTACCGCGGCTACACGCGGGGTAGACAATGTTTTTCCTGCTGGCTACAGTGGTGTCTGAGCCTTATAATTA